ATTCCCTACTAACAACCAGTGAGTATTGGAAGATGGACATGTAGTTCTAAAGATGTAGGGTAATACGCAAATACATTAACCGTAATGGTGGGGGTTTAGGGGTGAGGGTGTGGTACGTGGGAGTTTGGGCGGGAGCTTTTTGGGCAAGGTCTTTGTATTTTGGACCAGGGGGTTGGGCCTGCGGTTTAGCGTTGTCAGATTTAATGTTGAGACGCCTAGGGTTTGGGATTTAGGCTGAGTTTGGAGTTGTGCAAATATTTGCGCTCTAGGGTCTTTGTGGCATGTTTTGTAGGCGTTCAGGTAACGCTTGCGAAGAGATGTTGTGTACTTGATCTCCTGGCGGCGTTTGCCGACTTGGCTATTAGATGTGATGATTGCTCTTGGCCCTATTGCCCTAGACCTTGGCTAGCTTTACTACTATTACTACTGTAGATGTTACTACCACTAGTACTGCTATTTCTCCTGTTACTATTCACTGTTATTGTACACTTGCGATTTCTTCACACCCAATTTTTCACAGGCAACCTTGGTGCGAAGCGCCGGCAAGAACTTGGAGGAAGATGCGCCTGTCGATGGCCCAGTGGGAAGAGCTGAGCAATTATTATCCTATAATCCTGATGTATACATACACCAGTATATACTGCAACTCTATTGAGGAAGTATTCCCCTATAATCCTCATATAGCTATACTAGAAATACAACTCTACAACTCTGTTCTGATCCCTGAAGCCCTGGACCTTTCATGGTTCTCCAAGGGAGTAGTGTACATTGTAGGCCAATCACCTCGGCTTTAGAGCAAGACATCAAGACCCTAAACCCTAAAACCTAAAGCCTAAACCCCAAGTTATAATGTGGTAGTTTCCATTTTCTTTTCCATTTCCCCATATAACCCCAATATATACGCAGGCTTAGGCTTAACCTTGCCGTGACATCATAGGGTTCAAAACTGCTCCTGCCAGGGTTTGGGGTTTAGGGTGGGTTGTGGGGTTTAGGGTTCAAAAGGATTCCCCTAAAGGAGCTACCCCAAACCCCCAACCTCCCCAATCCCTACAAAGAACCAGTAAGTTATTACGCGGTTGGGGTGTTCCATTGCGGAGGCTCGGGTGGCTGGAACGGGTCTCTGAGGCATTGGTTACTCGAAGGGTGTAGAATGTATGTGGGGACTTCCAAACATTAGATTAGGGGCCTGTTTCACGGGTCCCTATCAGAAGGATCATCATATTTGCCCCGTCCCCTGAATGGACACTACCATTTGGTCTGAGCTAGCTTAGGACGCGCTATGCATGAGTTGCTGCGTATTGATCTCTGCCCGAGAAAAGTGTGGGGTGGACATAGCTTTCCTTGTGATGATGTACGGCAAAATGCCTTAGTCACGGCCCAGCAAAAACTGCCGGCGTTTCTGGCTTCTCGGGACCAATGCCTGTGGCTCATGTCTGCAACAAAGAGAAGCAGATTTGGCCATCAAACCGTTCCTTTGTTGAGCGCACAGTCGTCAGAGGTAGCTAGCTGCGATTTCTCAGCAGAGCAGATCTCTCTCTCTCTATCTATCTATCTATCTATCTATCGAGAAGACTGCTAGCAAGACACCAAAGAGGGTGGATGTCTCCACTTGTTCCGCATGACGACCTTGCAGTTGTTCTCATTCCAGCTGTTGGTTGATCATTATTTCGGTGATTCTTCTGACGTACAGATATGATATGACCGATATGACTCCTACTTCCCACTTCACCTTCTCCCTAAGGCTGAACCTGAACCAGAGGCGCAAATCCCTAAACCCAGACAGGGAATCCCTCTAACCCCTAAATCCCCTGGCCCTAAGCCCCAACCCCGTAACCCCTAAACCCACTAAAACTCAAAAAAACTCTAAACTCTCACCCCATCAATTCTGACACCTCCCAGGATCTTATTCTTCGTCAAAGGAATGGATCAATGGTCCTAAGCCCTAACATTAAATGATTGAAGAGCTTCCATCGTCTTCTTCTCATTCCGTCATTCCTTGCTGAATCCTAAGCCCCACACATTACAGAAGCTTCCATTTCCTTGTGTAATTCCCGACTTACTACCAGATAAGGAAAATGGACAGTAAGGTCGCTGCTGCCAATACCCTTTGGGACACCTCACAACAGCCGGACCCCACAGAAGTTCAAGGCCAGGCTTACTGGGATACTGGAAAAGAAAATAGAAACTACTATAGTAATTTGGATTATATGGGGTTTAGGGTTTAGGTTTGGGGGTTTAAGGATTGAGGAGTTGACGGCTTTGGGGTTTAGGGGCTTAAGGGTTAGGGTTTAAAGGTTGAGGGGTTTGGGATTTGTTTTAAGGGGCTCAGGCTGTAGGAGTTTAGGGGTTTGTGGTCCAGGGGTGCCTTGGACTTGGGAGTTTAGGCCTTCGGGGCATAGCAGCATGAATAGCAATGCCTTGATTTACGCTCACTTTATATGCGTGATCTCATGACAGCATTTTTTTCGAAGCCCTCTGGTATCTACCCTCTTGTAGTAACTGAGTAGGGTGCAGGGGCTTTGAGTCCCTAAACCCTAAACCCTCAAGCCAGAATTTAAGGGAAGCTTGCGCACACCCGGTCCAAATTACAAAAAAACGCACACACATAAATCTAAACCCTAAATCCTAAACCCTGAACCCTATGCAAGTCGTATAATAAGCCCTCAAGCCTAAGCCCAAGGCATTCAGTGCTGGGCTTTGCGACTTCGGGTTCAGGGTGTTAGGGTTTGGGCTTCTTTCGGTTTTAGGGTTTTAGGGCTCTAGATTTTACGTATAGGGTTTCGGGCTTAGTGCGTCGGGTTTGGGATTTAGTTTTTGGTGTCCCCGACCTCTCCGCAACCTCGACCCTCGCGCCTCTCAAGGGAGAAATGCTGGAGAATCAAATGCAAAACATGGAAAATGAAATGGAACCCTGGGGATCTTGTAAGGAGTATGTATGGATGACATCGGGTCTAGGGATGTTAGCCCAACAATGTAGGACCCAATGGAAAAGAAAACGGAACATGAAATGGAATTTATTACATATACACATAAGGGCTATACACAGTCCCTAAGCCTTGCATCCCTGACCATCATGGATTCTTGTTGGGTGGGAAGGGAGGGTCATGAATGGTGCGGCAGAGGGCCCAGCACATGGAAAGTTCAATTTGGATGCAGCTCCCTAAGTCCAAAACCCTCAAGCCCAAAACCCTTAAGCGTCAAACCCTAAACCCTATCAGCCCTAAACCCTAAACCCTACCGCTTGGGGGATCAGGATTTTGGGTCTAGGATCCTTATCTGGACCAAGGTTTGCTCTGATATTTGTATGTAGTTGCTTTTCGTAATGGAGAAATGGGTCCTAGTAGTAGCTCTCAGACATAAATCACGCCCTAACCCATAAACCGTGCACCCTACAACCTAAACTAAACCCTAAGCCTCCGGTAGATTGGGTTTTTTCTCCAGTCCATAAGCCCTAAAGTCTTGGCTACATGAAGCCTCAAACTACCAACTTCCAATTTCTTTTCGATTTTGTAACCCTCGCAATCCCAAAGATGTCAACATAAACCTCCAGGTTCCGCCTTGGGCTTGCGCTTTTCCCTGCGGTTTTGCATTAACTACCCGGCGCCCTACATATCATCCTTGGGAAGCCCTATATAAGGTTGTATACACCTACATCTCCCTATATACCCCTAAACCCTCAACTCTAAAGCCTCAACCCTATGCCCTAAAGCCTAAGCCCTAAACCCTCAACCCTAAAACCCTAAACCCCAAACCCTAAAACCCTAAAGCCCTAAAGTCCTAAACCCTCAAACCCAAAGCCCTAGGCCTACAAAGAGCCACTTTAAAACGGGAGAGGCCTAAGAGCCGCTGAAAGATACAGCAACAAGCTCAACGGTTTGGATCCGAGTCAGGTCCCGGGGATTTTGGGAGGATTTTGGGGATTTGGGAGGATTTTGGGGGATTTAGGGGTTGGGGGGTTTAGGATTTAGGGGTTTAGGGGTTTAGGATGTAGGGTGTCGGGCTTAGGGTTTAGGCTTTAGTGGGGTTTACATTGTCTTTAGGACTGTAGTTCTTGACCAAGCAGCCTCTAGGATGGAGGAGCGCAGGATATAGGAATAATGGAAAAGAAAATGGAACTTACTACAATGGGCTATATATTGGGATGCTGGAAAATAGATGGAAACTACTAGAATGGGCTATATGATGGGATGATGGAAAAGTAAATGGAAACTACTATGTTATGGGATATATTGGGGACATATTGGGATAATGGAAAAATGGAAACGATTACATGGGTTCTGTAGTGGTTGAAGTGTGTGCACATAGGGGTCAGGGAATATGTAATATTGGTGCTTGCAGCTTTTGACTGTGTGTAGTGCGGGTCATGAAAGACTACGTGTTACTGCTAGGGCCAAAATCGTTACCTTCTTGTTTTGAGGTCCTTGTAACTGTAAGGTACCCTATACCATACTTAGACAAGCAATCTAGGACCATAGAATTGATAAGCATTCATGCTTTTACATCACAGGCTTTGAAGTTTTGGGTTTACGGGTGTTGAGGAGTCGAGGCTGTCAAGACAGCAAGTCAGCGTAGCTTGTTCGAGGTTCCCGAGCGGCTATATACACACATTTCTTTTGTCAACAGTCTAATAGCTTATGCGCCTCCAAGTAGTCAGGTTACGTTTCAGCTGTCTTACACAGAAATTTTAGAAGTGTTTTTAGATCCTGCTGCTACTGAAGGACTGCCAAACGCATCAGTTCCGAAGTCATGATAGGCATTTATGGTTTGCTGAATCGAATCCCCCCCTCATAATGCTTCTCCCTCCCACCTCACTTCGAATAGATATTCCCCACAATATGCAATAGTAGTACTTATGTTGTTGTCGGTTGTTTTGCGGCTCTTTCACGGGGGGCTCTTGATACGGAGAGGTGATGAGAATCCTTCCAGATGCTGAATACTTGCATGTTGCTGTGCCCCCCTGTGTCCTCCCAATGATGTGCCAAAGAAGTGAGTATACTGTGACCAAAAAATATTGATGTAAAAGCCTGAGCCATTACCAGCACCTTGTATAAGCCTGTTACCGCCTACCTAAATCGACTCCAAACATGATGTGCCTGACATATCAAAGCTGACTCTCCACCTTACTGTTACATGGCTTGTCGTTCTCGCAAGGTTAACGCAACTAGCTAGATTGAACCTTTGGGATCCCATGAAAGCCACCTCTGACGGCGTGGGCAAAAGCATTTTGGGGGTCCCTGTTATATTTACGCTTCAGAAAATCCTGTTCTCAGTTCAAATCTTCTCAAGCCGCTGCAAGCCTGCTATATTATGATAGCTTGACAAAACTATGGTGCTATTTGGCTCCTGAGCACGATTTGGTCTCTGATGTTGAGGGTGCCTTTCTGAACCCTAAACCCTAAACCCCAAACCCTAACCCTAAACCCTAAGCACCAAAGTAGGTCTCTCTCTTTTTTCCTGGAGGTCTACCAACCCGCGGATGATGAAGCTGTGGCCATGCTGGCACTTTGGATTTGCCGTGCCGTGCGTTCTTCCTGTGGGATGTTTCTGGCGCTACGGATTTCGAAGTGAAATCTTGAAATCTCATATGCAAATAGACATACAGGTGCATGTCTACGTATATGTATACTCACATACATAAATATATATATATATGTATCTATAAATATTTTTGTGTGTATGTGTATATATATATATGTATCACGTAGCTGGCTAGATATCCAGGCTTTCCGTGAACCTCTGGATTGATTGGCCCCGGAATCCAGAAGTCCTTAAGACGCATCTTCTCTTGGTGTTCGGACAGAGTTTCATGGAGACATGCCAGCCATAAACCTAAGCCTACACTCTCTCAAGCAGGCACGTGTGAAGGGGGGGGGGCTGAATTTGGTGCAAACGGTCGTTTTGGGGAGGGTGAACCCTAATCATGTTTGTGTACCGATGCTCCAGCCCTTGCCAGGAAGAAAGCGGAAAGGTGGAAGAAGAGACCGAGCAGGACGTCGCAGCATGAGTTTGGTCCATGGTCTAGGAGGGAGTCCCTGAGTCCAGATTACAGTAAGTGAATGCAAGTTCCTCAGCGGTAACCCAATAAACTCTTTCTTGCGCAGGGTCTAAGGCAACTATAGGAAGGGAGGCCCCAACAGGGTACGTGACATAACCCCCCTGAAATGACACTGCAATGAGCACTCTCCCTCAATTGCCTTTAACTCTTGACCCTGAACTCAAAGCAAACCCCGCTGCGCCAAACCCGAAGCTCTACCTAACCCCCAAGGTAGGTAAGATAATATTCCAAAACCCTTAAAATAGGCCAAAGGGCCATTATTCTACATACTTCGGGGGGTTTAGGTATACACCCCCCCCTATCCTAAACCCTATAGACCCGCGTTGCCCTTGGCAGGAGGGTCTGCTGGATTTCAGCTACTTCGCGCGGCACACGCTCTGTGAGGCCGCAATGGTTGCTGTATGCAACCAGCAACCTAGGGCTTATATAGTGGTTATATCAGGTTGATATAGGTTTTTATAGGGGTTATTTAGGGTTCATATAGGGATTATTATGGGGATTAGATCTGGGGGGATTTCCTAAAATGCACCTCTCAAGGGTGCAAATAGAGATAGGTAGGGATATCCAGTTATTGCGATATACAGAGTTTCGGGTTCCCTTGAATGACCTTGGTATCCTTGGGTGCAATTATGAGGTGATCTCCAAATTCCGAAATGCCCCACTGAAACTTCAGGAAAAGCCCCCCCTAGACCCCTGAAACCCTAAACCCCAAAAACTAAGCCATAAACCCTAAACCACAGAAACCCTAACCCAAAACCTCCCAAACCCTAGACCCTAAACTATTAAAGTTCAAGCTCTGTGACATGAATCCGGCCACCATGTAATTTGTCAGGAGCCACAAATCTGCCAAGGGACCCCGATGACCCTACGGTGGGTTTAGGGTTTTAGGGGTTAGGGGTTTAGGGTTGAGGGCTTTGGGGTTAAGGGTTTATGGTTTGGGGGTTAGGGTTCGGGGTTCAGGGTTTAGGGTTAAGGATGCAGGGGTTTAGGGTTTAGGGCTTTAGGGTTTAGGGTGTGGGGACAAGTTAGGGTTTAGGGTATTATTGTAGAATACCATAATCCGAACACTTTAAGGATCAGGGCCATGCAGGATGTTTAGTACTCACCTCCGCTGGTACCACCTCATAGTACATATAGCTCAATCAAATAGAGGGGTGGGGGCTCGCAATATTCGGGGGTGATTATAAAACACAGGAGATAACCCCTTGCCATTCCATTCTCAATTCACTTTTGTTTGATGCTCCATTGCTGCTGACCTTGCCCCTGAACCGAAACCCTAAATCCTAGATGAGCGGTATGAGCACTCCTGGGCTGGTCTTTGAGATACTTAAGTATTTCCCCTAAATGGTTTCATAAGGACGCCACATACTGATTTTTCAAAGGTTTCCAAAGGCCAACCAAGACTCTCTGTCCAATGAGGCGGCTACACACTCCCTGCGAAATCGCAACATGTTCTCGGCCAAGCGTGCTTTCGAGGTCCAGCGGCTTGTTCATACTGGACTGATGGTAAATATCCCCAAGGGTCCAAGGACCCAAATAATAGGGTTCTAGGGCCCAAATACTATTAACATCATGGAAAAAACCTCATTATTTGGGTCCTTGGACCCTTAGAATATTCGAGTGCAATTTAGTAGACAGGTACAGGGATACTATAGTCGACAATGCCTCGAGAATATAGAGTAGGATTACATTCCATCCTTGTTTATAATGGTAATAAACAGAATATGATCTTACTTGGTTCCTCTACAAGACACCCTGGATTTTGTTGCGACCGAGATTCACGCGCTTCTGAGACTCTAGAGGGGTTCTAGGAAGGCTTTCTGTGTAAGTGAGTTCCCAGAAGCCAAGAGCTGAGGCGAGACAACATCGATAATCAAGACTCCTGCCCTAGAATCTAAAGCCCTAAACCCTAAACCCTAAACCCTAAGCCCTACACCTAAGACAGCCTTCCCGCTTTACTTCAGGCATCCCGTCAGACTTCTGGAAATCTTGAGGAAATTCCGCGACAACCTGCCACGTACTGGAGGTGCTATTGAACCATTTAGCCCTGAACCCGAATCCCTAAACCAGCAACGAAACCTCCAGCCTAGCGACAGAAACCTAATGGCCAATTTTGGCCCTTAGCCGTGTGAGGGTTGTTCTTCGGGCCCTTAGAGCCTTAAGGATGTGTGTGTGTGTGTAAATGTACACATGGTATACATGTATAGACCAGGACTATGGCTTTAACCTCAAGACGGAGTGGTCAATTCTCCAAACAGATTCCTATAGGAGCTGTAGTCTAAAATTCCCTACAGGGGGGGTATGTGGGGGGTTATATGGGGGAGTAGTAAGGGGGATACTAGGAGTTTAGACTATAGCTCATGTATATAATCCCCAAGAACGACTCCCCCCCCGGAAGCGTTTGTGGAGAAAGCCCCAACCCTTAACCCCAGGTGCCACAGCCCATATCCCCAAACCCTCAACCCTCAACCCCAAACCCTGAGCCTGAAACCCTAAGCCCTTTGAACTCTAAGCCACCCCTCCCAACCACCCCACCAACAAATCCTGCAGGTGCTGGCTTGTGAGGCGTATGGCCAGACTTGCCCTCTGGCCACCTTCGAGTGCCTCAATGGCGATGGATCTAGGACTTGAGGGCTTCTGATTTAGGATCTGAGCTTAGGATGTTTTAGGATTTAGGGTATAGGATTTACGGTTTTAGGGTTCAGGATTTGGGGGATTTGGGGGTTTAGAGTTTAGGGTTCGCTCCTTGTGATTCATGATTTAGGGAGATAGGGTTAAGCACGGATTTAGGGTTTATATCAGGGCCTAGGATCTCAGATCCAGGGTTTTTGTTTCGGCTGGAGGGCTGGGTTCTGGGTTTACCTATGTACTAAGCCGTAAACCCTAAACCCCCAAGATTTGGGGACGGCCAACCCTGAGTTCCTAAAACCTGTGAAGCCACAAGCCCCAAAATCTCCAGAAAGCCCTCAATCCTGCAACCCTACACCCCAAATACTCTTAAGCCCCAAATCCCCAAACCATAAATCCCTAAACCCAGGTTTCCTCAGTTCCCAGTTCCACCTATCCTCACCCCGAGGTTCCTCTGCTGGCTTCAAAGCACTGAGGCGTGGAACCCAGACTATCCGCTCGATGTTCCATGACATAAAGTTTTAAGGGAATATAGGGGCATACTGTAACGTTATACAGGGGAAATTGTGGGGGGGGGGAATGTCAGGGGTTATCTGGGGGTAGAATGACATAACATGGGAGTTTAGGGCTTCGGTTTTTGGCTCAAAAGAATCCGTATAGAGTCGCCATTAAGCTCTGCTATAATCCTTTCATACTTCCCAAATATCCTTAAAGTTTCCTTTGGGACCCACCCCGGCAGTGCCCGTGAGGCTTAAGCGCTTGTTAGATGGGGTGTGAACTACACCCAAACCGTAGCCTCAACAAAGTTGAACTCCCTCTAATTACATGTGTCGGAATTTGAAGCATCCCTTGGTGTCTCCCAGTCCCGGTCTTCAGCCACACCACACTGGAGACTGGACATCGAAAGACCAAGCTCCAGCCTCACCCAGTAGTGTTTCAAACGCGCAGGCTTCACGTAACCTTTGCCCTTTGCGTTCATCACTGGCTCATGCTTGAGGCCCAGAACAGCACTTCCACTGCCGCAGCTTCTCAACAAAACATATAGGGGTTTCCCAAAATTAGGGGTACCCGTTTGGGGGTCCCCATAATAAGGAGTATAGTATTTTGGGGTCTACATTGGGGTCCCCCTATTTTGGGAAACTATCATGTACCTCTTAACCAGCAACCCATGAACCTTCTTGCGATCCTCATCTACCCTCAGCATACTCACGGACACCTATGCCCATGTGTCAGGTTTGCATGCGAGAGGAGGCTGCCTTCAAGGCCTGTGCCGGATCACTTTGTGGCAGAGAATTGGATATGGTAGTTTCCCAACATAAGTGGACCCCAACGTAGACCCCAATATATTACAATCCTTCTTGTGGGGACCCCTAAAAAAGGTACCCCTAATTTTAGGAAACTTTAATATTGTTTTTGCAACGACGCACAGTGAATGTGAGGTCTTTGCTAAAGATTCCATAGGTGATTCATGGGGAGCTTTCAACAGGAGCTTAGGAAAAGGGTACCCTTATTCTCTGGGTGAGCTCCTGGGATATTTAATATTTTCCCTCATAACTTCAATAGGGGAACTTATATACGAATATTTGTCAAAGAGTTAAGGGGTCAACCCAGTTTTACTGGGGAGCCTAGATTTCAATGGTAGAAAGGGTAGGGATGGCTGGCAGCCTCGGGGAGCTATGTGGGGGGCTGATCGAAGGGTCCTTTGAGAAATTAATTGGTTTACGGTGTATTGCATAATGGCCATTTTGGGAGCAGGAATTTTGATCAAGTACCATGTCCTTACCATCAAAATAGTGATACATCGGGCGTCATCACAGTACTTGTTCTTAGTAGGGAATATGGGAACTTATTTTGGGGTGCATTTATGGATTATGTTCCCATATTCCCTACTAAGAACCAGTAAGTCATTGAGTAGCACCAACCCTAAACCCTAAACCCTAAACCGGGTGACAGGAGAAGCTTCCGGAGGATCACGATGAGCGGGTGCAGCTGTACCTGTCCGCACCCCGGTAGTAGCATGTATAGTCCCCTTTAAGTTGATAGAATATGAGGTATATGGGGATCTTATGTCTTGTACCCAAAGCCATATTCTATCTACTTATGGGGGACTCTACATGTCTGAGGCTGCAATATCATCTTAATGAGTGACGCCCACAGAGAAGAACTGCTGTTTTCCAGGCGCTGCGGACAATTACATCCTGGCAAATCTCAGTCAACGACTATGCGGGGCCCGTAAGAATTCTATAGGAGAATCCAGGGAAAGAGGCGTACTGCAGAAGCTTAAGTACCTAGCTATGTTATAATTTGCATATAGCCCCAAGCTCCCCGTACAGTTACGGTCTAGGGTACCTCAAATAGACCTCAAATGATATGGGCAATTATTTAGCCTACCGCATTACATTCTTGGAACCCAAAAGTGTGCCCTGAGCTGAAGCCCAATGCCTGAACCCTCCTGTCACTGGACTGACCCTGAGGGCTTTCATGCGCGTGGGGCAAAACCGCTCAGATCCATTGTGGTAAATTAAGCCCTAAACCCTAAACCCTAAGCCCTGAAACGAAGTCGACTTTCCAGGCTGAAGAACCTGGAGAGTCGCTGGCCATTTCCGGAAGAGCTTGGGACCTATTGCGCCAAGAGCCCAGCAGGTAGGTGAGTTGGAGAATGCTGGTAACCCCAAGCCTTATAGTCAGGACCCTTAGTGCAGTCATATGATAATTATAGGGTCTAATTCTGCAGGATTTAGGGCGTCCAAGGCGAAAACGTTCAACAATTCTTTGGCCCATAATTCCCCTGAACGCTAAACCCTAAACCCGAAACCCTGAACCCTAAACCCTAAGGGTGCCAACCCGCGGCTCTGTTTTTCCAAGGCCATTCGACAACGACTTGAGGCGGAGTCTCCATTCTTTCAGAGACTGCAGCTGGAACCATGGCTATAAGGTTCCTGAAAATACTTGTTAATTTCTGTTACCAACAATCATTATATTTAGCTGAAATTATAATTTCTACTGGGGTTCCAAATCCCTTAGAGTGGCTACGTTACAGGGATCGGGCTGGGGCGAGATGTTGGTTCCAGATAGATAAGGGAGTATAGGGCTCAAGGTTTAGGGTGCAGGATGATTAGGGCTGAGGAATTAGGCCCCCACTGTAAGTTCCCAGCCCCTTGCCAGTGAACTGACCGCCTGACTGCTAAATGGTACGGGTCAGCTGACCCTTCCTGACTGTGAGGAAGACGGCTATTTTGGGTTTAGGGTGTAGGGTTTGGAGCAACCCTGAACCCCAAGTCCTAAACCCTCAACCCTAAGCCCGGTGTTTTCAAGAGGTCGGGCCCGTAGGAATCCAAGGGACATAAAGGACATTCTTTTTCGGAATCGTAAGGCTTACGTAGGGAGTAGTTTGCGCATTTCAAAATGATGGATGCACCCTAAACTTTAAATCCGGGGGGAATTCTCAACCTTGCTGGATGTAAGAGCTTCTTTGTCTCCTGAAAGGGCTTGTTTCTCCTGTTCCTGTTCCCTCAGAAAATGTTTTAGTTGTTTTTTGTAGTATATCCTCAAGAAATCATGACAAGCATAACTGTTGATGCGAGCCATAGTGTAAACTCCTTTTGGGGCTATGTAGGGATGACATACGGATACTCATATAGGGGGTTATTAAGGGCGATACTAGGAGTTCAGACGATAGCTTATATATGCGACTGGGGGATTGCAAGTTTCTGGAGTCCCGGTTACTGGCAGATGTGCGGGACCTCTTGCACTAGCGAGCAGAGAATCTGTAAAGCCCAACAGAACCTGATGAATCGCCAATATTATACCTTTACAAACATTCTATCACTATGATATCGATACCCCAGACCCATTCTAAGTAAACAGTCCCCTGCAGTGGCGTTTCTTAGAGAAATCTGCCGGTTTTCGAACAATGCCTGCGCCAGGAGGGTCAAGGCCTAGGGTACTGAGGAACTATATACTTGTAGCCCCTAGAACGGATATAATTTGATATGATCATCCCACTTATTCCCTAGGTACCCCAGTAGTACCCTCTTCCCCTTTTTATTTGGGGGTCTCCTTATTAAAGCTGAATAGTAGGGAACATGGTACCCCTATTATGTAGGGTTTACTGGGGAACCTAGTTCCCATTTTTTTTAACCTACTTACTAGGTCCAAGCGGAGTGACACCCGAGGATAAGCTGCCAGCGATTGAAGAGATCTTGCTCTCCCACCTGCCGGCCCTCACGCTGGTAGCCTGCGGCCCCAGACATGTGAGCTGCGGAAAAGATTACAAGGGATCATGAAGAGTGGACATGGGATCCCAGTGCTAGTTTAGTATAGTCCCAATGATAACCCCTGATAGGAACCCATGTCCATTGATTTTATAGAAATATTGCAGTAGCTCACATGAGCTTCGGTGAAAGCGCCCTTAAAGGAAGGAACACATTGGTTTTAGTTCACGTGGGGCTTCTAGACTTCACTTACAACCCACTTGGATCTGTAGATGGACATCACAAATCCGATGATGCAAGGATAATGTCTACCAGGGAAAACCCTAAACCCTAAACCCTAAATCTACTGCTGAGCACCCCTAGGGTCTAATCAAGACCAGCGGACGAGGCGCTAGCTGCATGCAACTTGCGCTGCCTAATTCTCAAGCTTGCTTCTTGGGTGTAATAGGGGTCCAAGGCAGTACTGGGGGTAATGGGGGTTAGAAGGGTAATGTGGGGTGCAGATTCCCTTTCAGTAGTGGGGGAAGGTCGCCTGCGCACCTCCTCCCAGACATAGAACCCTGGAGAAGCTTGCTCCAGTACAAGGTGGCACAGCTGGTCAATCATAAGTCTGGTGAGCAGGAAACAGGAGTGTGCAAACATAGGCCTTGGTCAGGCTGGGCTGATAACAAATATAGATAAGAAGGCAAACCCTAGATACTAAGCTTACTGGTGGTTCGTAGGGATTGGGAAGATAGCCCCATATGACCCCTATATAATGTAATATATTCCCTTTTCGCTAACCACTTAATAAGGAAGAGCTCCCCTCAGTGCCTCAGGTCACCCTCCAGTTCCGCTCCAGCTACCTCTATGTGGGAGCACCTCGGCAGCATTGCGTGATTGCCCCTGGTCTTCAACAGCTTGCAAAGGAGTTTACATGAGGCACAACCTAGCTATAGAGTCCTTGAAGGGACTATATAATCATATAGATTAGGATTATACAAGGGCCTACGTTGGGGGTTATTAAGGTGAATATCAGGAGTTTAGGCTATGGATCGCATGATGCACCTCCACAGGCCTCAGACGTGTGGGTATGTTTCAAAAATCTACGCAAAGTCTGTAATAAGAAGCCCCCATGTTCCCCTTATCATCCCTCTATATTATATCCCCAGGGTCCCTGAGTTCCACCCTGGTTGAAAAACTCCCATCTTAGGCCGTGCTGAGCCCGGATGCGGGAGATCGCGCCGAGCGCGTTCGCCAGATGCAACCGATGGTGGCGCGACACATGGTGCACCCGGCAGAGGCCGTCCTACCTTGTTCTTGTTTTTTTTTGTAGCAGCAGCAGGATGAGCAGTAGTAGTAGTAGTAGTAGCAGTAGTAGTAGTAGTAGTAGGCGCCCCCCCCTACCAACTATGTTGGTTGATATTTCCACCACCAGAGCTTTGGGGGGAGGGGGAGGGGGGGAGGGGGCGGATAATTGTCAACTTCCCCCAAACTTAATGCCCTCCTCCAAATTCTACAACTAAACAAGATCA